AAAAAAAAAAAAAGGGGGGGCATCATGACATATTTAAACCTAACCTTGTTAGTTATTAAGCTGTGGATCTGTTCCAGTCTGTTGCTAACTATTGCTGGTAGAAAACCTTCGGTGGCCCCACCTACCTGCTTCTCTGCAGGCTGCAGTTTGCTCCACTCAGCACCCAACATCTTGGTTATCTCTGGGAAGGGCAGGTCTGGGTGGCGGGTCCGGATCTGCTCCCGCCTCTCGTTCAAGAAGCGCACGTAACCCGTAACGGGGGCCTTGGGACCATTGGGCAGAATCTTCTTCCGCTTCTTACCCTTGGGCCAGCCACGTTTCTTCACAGGCTGCAGGACAGGACTGGGATGTTGTGATGTCCGGAGAGCAGGGACAGGGCCAAGCATGGCAGGGACTGGGCTAGTAATGGGTGGAGCCTAGCCAAAGGGCAAAAAGTGGGGAAATGGAGTAACCAGACAGTCCCTACTGGGGAGACTGATTACAGGGGAACTCTCCTGGCTCCCTAACTCTAGCTACTCAGGAGGCTGAGATCTGAGGATGGGGGTCCAAAGCCAGACCAGGCACACAAATCCAAGAAAACGCTTATCTCCAAATAACCAGCAAAGTACAGGTGTGGCTCAAGCGGTAAGGCACCATCCTTGGGTGAAAAACCTACACAAAACCACAAGGCCCTGAGTTAAAGCCCCAGTGCTGACACCATTAAAAAAGAGAGAGAGAATAGGAGGACACTTCTTGGCCAGGGATGAGGGTAATCCAACATTGGGGACCCAGGCTGGCTTGGATGTGGGCATGGTTCCTGGTGGGTGGCTGCCCACAGGGATGCAGCCATGGGCCGGGCCTTCAGTGCCAGCAGAGCTAGAATTGGGCAGTGGGCGTGGCCCGCGGGACGGGAGGAGGGCCGGTGGGGGCGCGGCCTGCGGAGGGCGTGGCCGGCACTGACAGCGGGCCAAGGGGCCGAGACCCGGATGAGCCGGGACAGGACCCAGGGACCGGCCTGGAGGAGTTTGGAGTCTTAGGGGCGAGCGAGGGACGAACTGAGGCGGCCTGGGGGAGGACGGGGAGACCGGCAGGGACAGAAGTGAGGACGGACAGACGGGAGCCGGCGCCGGCGGACCCGACAGCGGAGGGCGCAGCTAAGTGTGAGACGACGGGCGGGGCCTGGCGGCTATGGGCGTGACCCGGCGTGACCTCGGGCGGGACCTGATAGTTGTGGGCGTGAACGAGCAAGACGGAGGGCGGGGCCTGGCGGCTGTGGGCGAATCAAGGTGGGACGGGGGCGGGGCCTGGCGGCTGTGGGCGAACCAGAGCCGGACCAAGCACGGGGGCTGGGCGGCTCACCGGGCACCGGCAGCGAGGCGAAGCTGGCGGTGAGCGCCTGGCGCACGGCCTGGAGCTGCTGCTGCAGCGCCAGCGTCCTGCGCTCCTCCAGCGCCAGCTCCTGTTCCAGGCGCTCGCGCGCGCTGCTCATGCTCTGCGTGTGTCTCTGCAGGACGGCGTTCTGCTCCTCGAAGGCCACGTTCATCTTCCGCAGTCGCCGCAGCTCCGCCTCCCGCGCTGCACACGGGGTAGGGGGGGTGGAGCAGGGGAGGGGAGGGGAAGGGTCAGAGCCAGGCTCCTCCATCCCCACCCCCCACTGCGGCCTTTGCTCCCTCCTCCAGCCTCCCTCCCTCCCACCACCAGTTCCCAGGATCCAATGGGCGCTCACCTTTGTTTTGGTCTAGGAACTCTTCAGTAAAGATGGGAACGTCGAAGGTGGAGAAGCCATCGCAGTCCCCACCCTGGGACAGAGGGACAGTGTGGCAATTGTTTCTTTAGGGGAGCAGCCACAGGTCCCTAGAGGTGCCCTGATGGACTCCCGGCGACCCTGCCCACCTGCCATCCCCACGGCCAGCGACGGTCACTTCCTACCCTGCGCACGGGTCACTGGGTCACTCGGGACCCTCCGTCCCCAGGTACTTCCTAAAGGGTCCTTACCTTGTGTCCGTTCAAGAGCGTGTTCATGAGCCCGGAGCCCGAGTCCTCTGGTGCGGAGGCAGGGGAGAAGAGTCAGCTCTGTCAGTCAGCCCTGTGCATCCTGGGCCACACCCCCCATTGTGCACCCCCATCTGGCCACTGGCTAGTTATGTGATCACCTTGCCTGGAGCTGGGTGGGGGTTTGCGACTCACAGGTGCTCGGGGCCCGCCCACCTTTTTTTATCTTCTTCTCTTGAATCTTCTCGCTGCACACCTTGTAGGCCTCTGATTGCTGGTAGGCCCGCAGTTCCTTCAGATACTGCTGCTTCTCCTTTTCTGCCTCATCCAGGTACCTCTGGAAATGCAGCAGTACACAATCACTGGGCCTAGCCAGATGGTGGAGAGCCCCCAGGGACAGGCCTGCAGCCACCCCCAGCTCTGGCAGTGCCCCCTCCCAGTACTGGGCTTCCTGTAGTTCCCTGTCCTTTACCTGCTCCTCAAGGGGCCTCCTTAGCTGCCATTTCACCCCCCACAACCCTCACTCTCCCAACTTGGGCTCTCAGAAGCCATCTCTGGCCTCCCGGACCTCTGCACATCTCCCCTCAAAGTCTGGCTTGAGGCCTTGCCCGCCCTCCTGCACTGTTTTTGCTGACTGAAGTCTCAGTTTCAGAAGGTGGTTTGAACTTCATCTCCTCTTTGTTACTGAAAGATTTCTTTTTCTTTTGGTGCCAATCCTGGGGCATGAACTCTTGGCCTGGGTGCTGTCCTTGATCTTGTTTTGCTCAAGGCTAGTACTCTATCATTTGAATCACAGCTCCAGTTCTGGCTCTTTTTTTTTTTTTTTGTAGTTAATTGGACATGAAGAGTCTCACAGACTTTTCCTGCTAGCCTCAGATCTCAGCCTTCTGAGTAACTAGGATTTCAGGCGTGAACATTTTAAACTAATTGCCAGAACCCTGGTGGCTCACACCTATAATCCTAGCTATGCAGGAGACTGAGATCTGAGGATCACAATTCAAAGTCAACTGGGGCAGAAAAATTCATGTGACTCTTATCTCCAATCAACACACAAAGCCCCAAGTAGCTTGTGGTAGAGTGTTACCTTTGAGTGAAAAATCTAAAGAGTAGTGCCCAGGCCCTGAATACAATCCCCAGTATTGGCACAAAAATAAAAATAAAGTCAGGATTTTAAAATCAGAAGTTTGCAATTAAAAAAAAAAGCCAAGAGCCGGGCGCTGGTGGCTCACGCCTGTAATCCTAGCTACTCAGGAGGCTGAGATCTGAGGATCGCGGTTCAAAGCCAGCCCGGGCAAGAGAGACTACTATCTCCAATAAACCACCAGAAAACCGGAAGTGGCGCTGTAGCTCAAGTGGTAGAGCGCTTGCCTTGAGCTGAAGAGCTGAGGGACAGCACTCAGGCCCAGAGTTCAAGCCCCACAACCGATAAAAAAAACAAAAAAAAAAGCCCTTGGGCTGGGAATGTGACCTAGTGGTAGAGTGCTTGCCTACCATGCATAATGCCCTGGGTTTGATTCCTCAGTACCATATACACAGAAAAAAAGCTGGAAGTGGCGCTGTGGCTCAAGTGGTAGAGTGCTAGCCTTGAGCAAAAGAACTCAGGGAGAGTACCCAGGCCCTGAGTTCAAGCCCAGGAC